CACATTCCAGGCGGCTATGACATTGGAGTTTCGACACATGCTGGATCGTTTCGTACTCATCTACCTCGACGACATCTTGGTGTACAGTCGGAGTTTGGACGAGCATGTGGAGCACCTGCGCACCGTTCTGGAACGGCTACGACAGGCCAAGTACAAAGCCAACCGCGACAAATGCGAATTCGCGCGGCAAGAGCTGGAGTACTTGTGACACTATGTGACGCCGCAAGGCATCCGTCCGCTTGCGGACAAGATCGAGGCCATCCGCGTATGGCCCGAGCCCACCAACACCACGGACGTTCGTTCATTCATGGGGTTGGCAGACTATTATCAGCGTTTCATCACCGGATACTCAAGGATTGTCGCACCTCTGACGAGACTACAATCGCCAAAGGTGCCATTCGTATTCGATGACGACGCGCGCCAGGCTTTCCAAGCACTCAAGACGGCTATGCTCATGGCACCCGTCCTTAGCATCTACGACCCCACTCTGCCTACGAGAGTGACGACTGACGCTTCCGGTTACAGCATTGGGGCAGTCTTGGAGCAGCACGACGGCGAGGATTGGCACCCTATGGAGTATTTCAGCCACAAAGTGCCTCCCATCAATTCTCTGGATGATGCAAGGAAGAAGGAGTTGCTTGCGTTCGTCATGGCTCTCAAGCGATGGCGGCACTTCCTTCTTGGGCGTCGTAGGTTCACATGGGTCACGGACAATAACCCATTGACCTACTACAAGACGCAGGACACGGTGAGCAGCACGATTGGACGGTGGATGTACTTCATCGACCAGTTTGACTTCACACCGAAACACGTTGACAGCCTCTCCAATCGCGCAGTAGATACACTTTCTCGATGACCTCATCTTTGCGCTATGACGCATCACGCCTTCGCGTTCGACGAGGACCTCCAGCGACACTTCATCAAGGGCTATCAGTCTGACCCAGAGTTTGCTACGTTGTATGCGCAACTATCTTCGGATCMCCCGCCGGCCAGCCACTATCGCATTGCCGACGGGTACTTGCTCCTCCACTCGAGAGGCAAGGACTTACTGTGTGTCCCACGCGACCGCCGTCTTCGGACTCGCCTTCTCGACGAGTATCATGATTCGCGACTCGCCGGCCATTTCGGAGTCAATCGCACGATTGCACGGCTTCGACAACGATTCCGATGGCCCGACCTCATTTCCGATGTCATGCGGTATTGCGATTCTTGCGAAGTTTGCCGATGCAGCAATCCCCGCAACCGCAATCCCTATGGCGAGTTACGCCCGATGCCTATCCCCCGGGAACCCGGTATCTCCATTGCTATGGATGTCACCGGTCCGTTTCCTCGAGACCGGCTCGGGCACGACGGCATCCTCACGGTTGTGGACCGATTGAGCAAGTATGCACGTTTTCTTCCTTGCAAGTACTACTCCACAGCTCCCAAGCTGGCACGCTTCTTGCACACCGGTTGGATTTGTGGCCACGGCGTACCCGAGGACATAGTCAGTGACCGCGACACTCGTTTCATGTCGACTTTTTGGACCTCTCTCATGCAGGTGTCCGGCACGACGATGAAACCCAGTTCGGCTCGGCATTCACAAACAGACGGGCAAACGGAGCGGGCACATCAGACCGCTCAAGTGATGCTTCGTACGCTCATCCGTCCGGACCAGAAAGATTGGGTTGACCGCCTCCCCGACATCGAGTTCGCCTACAACACTTCAGTGCACCCGGCGATCGGTGTAACTCCATTCGAGTTGCACCACGGTGGACGGAAAGGCCGTATCTTCGCTGATCTTCTCCTCCCTCGACCAGCCGACATTGACGCCGCTTGCTCTCTCGCTTCCGTCCGGAAGTACAGGGAATTGCTGGCTCAAGCCCGCACAAACATGCAAAAGGCTCAAGTCCGCATGCAGCAGCAAGCCAACAGGCACCGCGTACCATGTCCCATCCACGTCGGAGATCGAGTTTCGGTCTCCTCGGAAGAGTTTGCATTGGAACAGGATGTCTCACGCAAACTACTCCCTAAGTGGTTTGGACCATGGACAGTGACATCAGCCGCGGGCGATGAGCCCGATGGCCCTTCATTTGTGATCGACATTCCTGAGCATCTTACGGTCCATCCAGTCTTTCATGCGTCAAAGCTGGCAACATATACACCAGCTAAGAGCGATGACTTCCCGGGACGACGATCGCAGGACCCTCCTTCTATGGATGGTCATCAGGAGGTTGACCGCGTCATCTCAGATCACAAGTATGGCAGCAAGCCGCGCCAGTACAAAGTTACATTCAGAGCATGCGATCCCGACGACACTCGGTGGATTTCAGGAGCAGATTTGAAAGCNTTTTTTTAAGTCCATGGTGTTGTAGAGGCCAGTCACTGAGCACACAGTGATCACCTGGAGCAGTAGGCCGTGGGTGTCCTGGAATATGAGACCACCTCCCATCCCATCCTCACGTCAACACTCCGAGCGCACCCCCTATCCCACTATCCTACCTCAGTGTGACCAGCACTCTATCTTCCCTGCTGTCATTATGGCAGCCTTTGTCGTTGCCCACGTTATCGTCGTTGCCTCAGTGTTCACTGTTGCTGTTGTTGTTGCTGTTGTTGTTGGTGCCCAGAGGTTGACATTGGGTGGCCGTGACCCGACCCGACCGTACCCAGCCGTACCCGACAATTGTGGACGGGTGCGGGTATGGCACGATTAGTATGCACCGGGGCAGTTTGGGTCTGGAAATCTGAGGGGGGGATATGGCTGGGGCGGGAAACTGTAGGGTGGGTGGGGCTGGGTTTTGACACAGTGCCTGGACGGTTACGGTCGGGCAAAGGTTTGCCTTCGTTCCGGGAACGGTTGGGTAGAGGTTTCGCGTGGGTGACCCGAGGCCTGTAGGCATACTAGGCATATTTGGCAAGCCTAGGTAGTATTAGGGCCAGGCCTGACCCTTTTTCTTCACTTGGAAATAGTGGTACTAGTGGGGCGTGCCCCTAGTATAAATTTGTCTCTGGCCGTCTGTCATTCGTCTTAGGGCCGAGGTAGTACTAGTGTCAGACCATACTATCGATTCGGCCTGGCCCCAATCGTTTCATCCTAGGGAATACGCCATTCACTAATAGACTCTGGCCATAATTGCAGTCAAATCTATCGAAATCTGGCTGTAGTTGCAGCCAAATGTAGACAACAAAGTATCAATGTGAGTATCCCCAGCCACTGGTCCACTGCCGGCGCCAAAATTTGAAGCGGAAATATGTGGATGGAAGTTAAGGAATCCGACATGCAAGGCCTAAGCTTTAAATAAAGATAAAAGGGAAGACTAAGCCTGGGTGGAAAATTTTGGGCACAGGTACGGCTGGTGTGGCATACTGTGCAGCCACACGGGCCCTGCAGGGCCCGTCCCGGACCTCCAGCCTGTTTCCCTACAGGGAAACTTCCAGGCTCTTGCCTGGAAGCTTCCTTCTGACACGGCCTACAGGCCCCAGCCTGCTTCCCTACAGGGAAACTTCCAGGCTCTTGCCTGGAAGCTTCCTTCTGACAGGGCCTACAGGCCCCAGCCTGTTTCCCTACAGGGAAACTTCCGGGCTCTTGCCTGGAAGCCTCCTTCTGACAAGGCCTACAGGCCCCAGCCTGTTTCCCTACAGGGAAACTTGAGGGAACTTCCAGGCTCTTGCTTGGAAGCTTCCGCAGGGTCTAGGCGAGGGAGGCATTGGCACGACCAGCCTTCCTGCACGGGCCAGCACTATAAAGGACTGGCCCGCCCTGCAGGAGGTAGTAGTCAGTAGGCACTTGTAGTCTTCAGGATTTCGGCCGCAGCACTCAGGAGGAGCGCTGCAGTAGTCTTCAGCGCTAGGCAGTAGTGGTAGCGCTAGGAGTAGTCTTCGGCGCTGGGCGCCATAGCCATAGTGGTCGTCTTCAGTGCTGGGCGCTATAGGGCAGGGTAGCAGTATCGGAGAGAGACACTGGCGGAGGCCAGTGGTACTTACTTGTGGCACCATCGCTCCAGCTCCATCCTCGGTGTACCTGCATCAAGACGCCAGTTTTACAGGTTAGTATTGGACTGAGAGAGAGAGAGAGAGAGACCTTCTTCTTCCTCTTCTAAGTCCACCATCTCTTCTTCCCCTCCCGCTGCCTGCCTCTCAGCATCTATGGGCTACGAGATGGAGCTTTGACACGGGACATGACGACATTGTCATCAGACTTGATTCCGGGATACAGACATTCGTTGAGGATTATTTGGGACCTGTGACACAGACTTGGAGTTGACGATTTCTCCCATCTTCTCCTCTCCCTTTGTCTCTTCCCTTCCTCCTTCGTCTGTGTATGTTGGGGTCTGGCGCTATCTATTCTGTGTGAGCGCCAGCCCTTCACACCACTGTATGATGATGATAAATGTCGGGACTGTACTGCAACATTRATTGAGTCGGATCATTGATAAGTCTTCCGCTCGCCATCGTGTACTTTGAAATGAAAGGTCGGTCCTTGTTCTGTTTTGCATGATCTAGTATGCAACAGCTGGGCACGGGTGGATGGATAATAGGTTCGGGTGCGGTTGGATGAGGGTGAAGGGAAATTTGGCCTAGGTGTGGCTGGGTATGCATAGACAATTTTTAAATCACCCTGGGTGGGCTGGGTACGGGTAGAAAAAAGATTAAATTAGTGTGGGTGGGCTGGATCTGGGTAAAAATAATAGTGTTTACATGGGTCTGGCTAGATATGATACATCAAGGCTTGGGTTGGGTCGGATATGGGTAGCAAAAAAAAAGGTTTTGCGACCCTTTGTTGGTGCCGTTGCTGTGTTGGCTTCAGTTTTCGTTGTTGTCATTGCCTCCCATTGACCTGCCATTGCCACTTGCCCTGCCCCGACCCCCCACTCCCCTGCCTCATCAAGGGCACTCTCCGTCTTGCCACTATTCCCGATGCCCTGATGAGGATGAAAAGCGCTCCAGCGCTAACCTGCGCCACGAACTGGCCAGCGAGGCCCGGTCGCACTTAGTGGACTAGGGCAGTGGTGTGTGGTGGCCATAGCTGCCCCTATTCTTTCTTGTCGTCCGCTTGGTCTTTTGACCGGGCGATGGTGCACTTCTCACTGGATACGACAGGAGACGGTACATCGACGACGGGCGTGTAGGATGTTAATTAGACGATGCATTTTCTACTTAGGGGGCATCTCATCTGGGCACGTGGGGATATATGTTGTTGCTAGGGATGGCGCCGACAAGCACTAATCTACAATATGAAGTTGATCAGTGGATTTCGTTCCTGGAGGCGGGTCGATGTCGATTGCTTGATTTGGTGGATGCCTTATCCACAACAGCCAAGGCTTGGCCAGAGGTCGATGAGGGAGCGGCCTCGGGACTGGAGCAATGGGTGAAGGACATGACTCAGTCCATTATGGAAATCATCTGGGAAACTAAGGAGGGGCCAGACCCGCGTTTGGACACTTTCATTAACTAGGGGCAAGTAGATATCTTGATGGAGCGATATTATGCGCTTTTTGACGAGGCTCATGACATGCGAACTGCGTTGGAAGAGCGTGCACAGGAGGGGCTCGTCGAGTATGATCATCACAAGTGTCCGCGACAGACTGCGACGGCTGTAACAACGATTACAACAATGACAACTACTGATGTGGCGATGATTACATCAACATCCATGGCACTCACGACGATAACATTAGCGACATCAATTATACCGATAGAGCCTGCGATTAAGACGCTGGCATCTGTACAGGACACCAATATCAACAACAACAACTACACCAACAACAATAGCATTGCTCACGACAGTGGTATGGAAGGAGGGATCCTGAGCTCGTGTGGGCCCAGGAGCAACAACAATTACAACATCACCAATTACAACATCACCAATTACAACAACGATACTATCAGGGATAACGACAACAACAACAATAATAACGACAACAATATTGATGTTGTGGCAAGTGCGACTGGGCATTCCCTTTCCCCCCCCCTCCTCCCTCCCCTCTTGCTTCCCTTCTTTCGCTCTTCCGGTGTTGATTGGGGGGAGGGCCGAGTGGATCGGTTGAATGGATTGATTGGTAAACTGGGAGGGGGTGTGGGGGAGCAAGGAGTTGGATGGTGGCACGAAGGGGTAGGATAGTGAATGCCAGATTGCCAGATCGGATAGGGTTGCATGTGATAGGCTAGCTCTACCGCATCTAATTCTGGCCACGTGGCTACAGGGTGGGTAAGGTTTGCTCATGTGTTTGAACAACAATTTATCACGTGGAAATTGGCGAATTTTACTATTTTTACGTTTCTATAAACACAGGTCTGGTCACGTGGCAGGGCAGGTGGTGCTGTGAGGATCGGCACCGAGGCTGTTTCTGTGATTGATTTGACCCCTGCCACGTGGGTATTGTGATTTGACCTTTTTTCAATTTTTCCCACTCGAGCGCGCTTTTGGCCATGTGGCAGGGCAGGTAGTGTCGGGAGGATCGGCACCGGAGCTGTTTGTGTGATTGTTTTGAGCCCTGCCACGTGGGTATTGCGATTTGAACTTTTTCAAC